GAGACAGAGAGACAGAAAGCGAGAAATCACCCCCCAGGGGAGATGGCCACACCACAGTCCCTTCTCCTCCATTCTCCTCTTGGGATCTTGGGCATGCACGCACATGTGTCTGGCGTGAGTTTAAGCCACTGGGTCTGGGACTCGAACCACAGTAAACTACGTGGGAGACCAGCAACATAGCCATTACGCTAACTGCTGGTCCAAACAACACAATTCTAAGATCTATGATACTCTCTTAAATAAAACTTGTAGTCCTGTGAGTACTCAGAAGAGAAAAGACATAACAAAATTTGTCAGGGACTGAAAAAAAGAATATTGAATCTCTTAAGTACAGTAGTTTGGAGACACAGCTTTTGTGGGCTCCAAAATAACCAGGAGTCTGAACTTGAGCTCTGGGCAAAAATTAAGATCTCAAAATTAGAGCACGAGTTGTTTTTCCTGTTATTAATGGATGTGCACACAACAGTGATTTTGATATTTCCCAATTTTTTGAAACATATGAAGTGGGTGTTTTCCAGCACAGTATTTACCCCATTTTAAAGTAATACTGGAGGAAATTTTACATTTTTTTTTTTGGAGAGGTTTTTGCTATAGAGCGCATGCGCTCGCCAGACAGACAGAGAGAGACAGAGAGACAGAAAGCAAGAAATCACCCCCCAGGGGGGATGGCCATGCCTCAATCCCTTCTCCTCCATTTCTTCTCGGGATCTTGGGCACGCACACACACGTGCCCGGCATGAGTTTTAAGCCACCAGGTCTGGGACGCGAACCACGGTCAACTACATGGGAGTCCAGCGACATGGCTATTACGCTAACTGCTGGTCCCACTGGAGGAACTTTTAAACCGTGGAATATTAATGTATTATTATAAGACATGGGAAGTTTATCTTGGGTTATTTAAGGTTACTTAGATCTTATTCCAGAAGAAACATCTGAGATACTGGATATCTAAAAGGAAAACCACAGACATATCAATTTCAGTGCATTAACACTTTGCAGAGACATATAAGGCTACATGTGATTTTCAATGTTTTGTTTCAAGAATGAAAGAATGAATCGTGGGACAGCCGTAGCGTGGCAGTTAAAGCATCTGAATCCCACATGGCTGATTCCCCAGTAAAAGTCCTGGACCCAGTGGCTTTTAAAACACACCAGACACCTGTGTGTGACTGGAGGAGAAGGTATTACGGTGTGACCATGCCCAATGAAGGGTGCTTTCTTGCTTTCCCTCTCCCTCCCTCTCTGGCGAGTGCGCATGCCCTCAGGGATTTTTTTTTTTAATCGCCACAGTACATTTTTTAAAATATGCATTTCTCCTTCTCTTTTTTTTTTTCTTTTTTGTAGATGTGGACAATCACTACAAAATAAAGTACAACTGAAGGGTCGTGACCTCCTCACTCTAAAGGACTTTACAGGAGAAGAAATTAAATATATGCTATGGCTATCAGCAGATCTGAAATTTAGGATAAAACAGAAAAGAGAGGTAAATAACATTTTCTTCTTCTATCCCTTAATACCAATCAGACTTTTCAAAGGCAGCTCTCCCCAAGAAAGAGGGAAACAAAAATCCATTAAAATTCATAGACAATCGCTAAGTAATGAAACCTCACAGTCAAGGTAATTGATTATCATTCAGTGTACAGGCATATAAAAAAGCACAAAATCAGTTATTCAATGACAAGTCATTGCACTTCTTTCATGTGGAATGCTAAAATTCATTATTAACTGGATCAGAACCCAAGGAATCATTTGTCTGAAAAGATTTTATTTTTATACTGTGTTTCTTTTGTCTGTGTATTTTTTATCAAGTTAAAAATAAGGATAATACTTTTTTTCTAGCAACAAATTTCAGCTTTGGATGCATATCAGATATATGACCATTAGGATAATGTCAAAAAAATTCAGTGATGTGTTTCTAAAGCAGTTAGATTAGCAAATAAACAATTAAATGGTAGCCAAGTAGGGAAGAGATGGGATATGGTGCTTAGCCATAAGCATTATTCTGTATTTTGAGCAATTTTTGTTTGAAACACAATTAATGCAGTAGCTTCATTTAGACTGCTTAATTGTAAGATTTTTGTATTCCAAGTTCATCTAAAGCTTTTTTTAAAGTGTTGGTTTTAGGTTGAGAAAATTTGGCATGATCTTGATTTTCTTATCTAATTACCTACCTCTTCAACTTCCTAAGAATAAACAGGATAGGAGTAGTCCCAGCTGCTATAGGTTTATGTTCCTGTAGAACAGGGGTCCCAACCACCAGGCTACAGCTCACTACTGGTCTGTGGCATGTTAGAAACTGGGCTGCACAGCAGGAGGTGAGCTGTAGGCAAGCAAAACTTCATCTGTATTTATAGTGACTCCTTGATGCCCATGTTGCCACCTCGGCTCTACCTTCTGTGAGATCAGTGGCATCATCAGATTCTTATAGGAGCATGAACTCTGTTAAGAACTGTGTGTGTGGGACCAGCAGTTAGCGTAATGGCTATGTTGCTGGACTCCCATGTAGTCAACTGCGGTTCGAGTTCCAGACATGGTAGCTTAAACTCATGCCAGGCACGTGTGCGTGCGTGCCCAAGATCCTAAGAGGAGAATGGAGGAGAAGGGACTGTGGCATGGCCATCCCTCCTGGGGGGTTTTCTCGCTTTTTATCTCTCTTTGTCTTTCTGGCAAGCGCACGCACCCAATAAGAAAAAACCTCTCCAAAGAAAAAAAAAAAAAAAAGACTGTGTGCCTATGGGGGATCTAGGTTGCATGCTCCTTACCAGAATCTAATGATCTGAGGTGGAGCTGAGGTGGTGATGCTAGCACTGGGGAATGGCTAAAAATACTGCATTATGGTGAGTTTTGTAATTATTTCACTGCATATTACAATGTACTAATAATAGAAATAAAGTGCACTATAAATGTAATGCACTTAAATCATCCCCAAACTATTCTCTCTGGTCAATGGAAAAATTGCCTTACACAAAATGAGTACTTGATGCCAAAAAGTTCGAGAACCTCTGCTGTAGAACAACTGAAATGAAAAGAAAGTCTAGAAAGTCTTCCCAGATCCCAGGCCCTTGTTCTTCACACTTAATGTATGAGGAGGGTTAGCTGAATCTAGTTGTTCCATAACTTATCCTATCGGGAAGTCCATCTACAGAAGAGGAAGGAGGAAGAGCCCCGCCCCACAACCAGCTTTCCAGATTATTTTCAAATGACTTCCAGAAACAAAGCCTCTGTACTCCCATTAGGACACATGATGAATGTGTAACTGAAACCATGGGACTTCATCATTGACCTAAGTAAGAGGCCTAGTATCCCATGTTGTGACAGAATAGCATCATCCTAGCTGAGAAAGTACTTTCAAACCAAACATCTTCAAGGTCATTGAAAATTGAATGACAATTTCAGGGAGTTAAGAAAATGGTTCTAGTATGAAATATTAATATACTTTGGAACAAGTGCCCGTGTTGAATCAAGAACAATGAATATCACCTTCTAACTAATGTCAATAAGTTGTAGTGACTGTTCCATTCCTCCATTTGTATAGAACATGGGGGGGGGAAACAAACACACTAACTTTTTAAACAATGTTTTGAACTCTTATTTGGAAAAGGATTAATCTGTATTTTCTTACAGCATAAAAAATAAGTCTTAAAATATAGTCCTCAGTATTGGGTATAAAATGAATCCAACTTTGAAGTGTATTCTTATCCTTGATTTTCAGTATTTGCCTTTATTGCAAGGGAAGTCCCTAGGCATGATTTTTGAGAAAAGAAGTACTCGAACAAGATTGTCTACAGAAACCGGTGAGTCCACTGACAAACTTACTTTGTGTTAAAGAGGGGACCCAAGGATGAGGACTTGGGAAGGATCGCCCAATGGGAGGATTTGTCTGCCTCTTTAGCAACCACAAAGAGAAAATATTTTACAGTTTTCTGTAGCCGTTGCAAGCCTATGAATGCTCTTTCCAGTTCTCCTAGAGGTTGCAAGCAGACAAACTTCACCTGTAGTAATTTCATGAGGACTTGAGTAGAAATCTGATATAACTCCTTATGTTTAGGACAAAATGTAGTAGGCCTCAAACTCATGTGAATAATAAATGTGTCTATTTTTCTGACATGTAAAAAACTTTTTCTTGTGTGGCCCAATTGTGCTGAATAGTGGAAACTTAGTCTCTGCAATGTTAGGCAATCCTCAAATTTTTCAGGATCTTCTGTATCCATCTTGGGTCACTTTCCCCTATCCTCACAGTAATGCCTAAGTCCTGGAGGGGATTTGAATGTCAAGACACCTAGGACTATGAGGATCTATTCCTTGGTTATCAGGAAATAATCATCAAATGTCCATGCTAGAATGTGCTGAGACTTCTGAATTCCCATTGGATCTTGACTGTTTGCCTTTTACTGTGGATTTGCTTCACTCTGATCACAAGACCTGAGATATCTGTTGGTTTGGTTCTCTCAATGTCTTCGCAGCTCTTCAACCACACCAGGCATAGAGATACTGCAAAGACACCTCTACTCTATTGTTCCTTCCTCATGCTGGGTGCAAGAGGGTTCTATAGCATTTGCTTCCTCCTAGACTTCTGTCTTAAAATCAAGATACAAAGGTTCTTAGTTTTGGAGTTACCCAAGCTTATCTGAGGTTTTCATCATGCTCCTCCACCCTTTGGAAGTTGACCTGGGGGATACACAGCACAGTATGATGTGGAAGGTCCATCAGTTTCTATTCCTGTTGCTGCTTCTCTCTCCGTATCCTTTTCCTCCTTCTATTATAGTTCCCAGTATTGGGAGCCAGGTAATAATGCAGGAGAAAAAAACTGGCTCTACCTATCACAGTATTCTTCCAAATCTATTGTTTGTGCCTATAATCCTAGAATGTCGAAACTCAAATTTTCTATTTTTCTAAAACTATTATTTCTGAAGTGTATTTCAAACAGTGTTTTGAAACTCATAAGCCACAGATTGCTACTTTTCTTTCTCTCTGTATTTCTGATCTATCAGACCTCTCCTGAATCAATAATATGTCTGCCCAAGTGGGCAATCAGATCAAGGAGGAAGTGCCACAAACAGCAACACAGTGGTTAGTTCTTCAAGTATTATATCCTACCTTACAAGCAGCTGGCCTCTCTAAGGCTTAAAAGCAAGCAACTACATATGATGTTTGCCTTGCAGTGGCCAATAATGAGATTCATTAAATAGACAATAGAAATGAGGTTCAGGGGGATTAAGTCATTTTCTAAGTTTACTCAATTAATACAAAGATTTCAGGGGGATAAAATCATTTTCTAAGTTTACTCAATTAATACAAAGAGCAGCAATATTCAGACCTCAAGTCCTCTGTTCTTACAACTACATTCCCTTTGCCTTTTGAGAAGAGGAAAGAAGAGTGGAAATATTTAAAGTATCATCTAAGCTTTAAAGTCCTAGGGAAAAAAAACAAATGAGTTATTTTTCCCTTAAAATTGTCTTCTAGGCCAGTCTTGTAGCCTAGTAGTTAAGGAAAGTAGGTCCCATATAGCCAATTATAGTTCAAACCCCACCCCCTGGCAGCTTGAAAAGCATGCTGAACATGTGGGCATGTGTTCTCAGTGTCCTAGCAGACAGAAGAATGGAGGAGAAGGGATTGTGTTATGACCATGCCCCATTGGGGGGTGCTTTCTCTTTCTCCTTCTCTGTCTCCCAGTCTTTCTTCGGAAAGCACATGCACCCTTCAACAATTAAAAAAAAATGGTTCCTATAAGAGATCATTTTGGCATCTAACAGAGAAAAAAATGAATAAATTAGCCATTAATTTTCAAATTCTATACCCTTCCAACACTGGTCTTCTATGAATTGGGCAGGATGCACATACCCATGATCCTAGCTGATTGGGAAGGCTTGGGGGGATAGCAGTGTGAGACCTCATTAGGGGTGCATCTCTCTCTCTCTCTCTCTCTCACTCTCACTCTCATGAAATCAACTTTGAAAAATAAGAATGCATACCCTTGCCAATTGCTCTACATTAATTATATGGACTACCCTACTTAATCCTCATGACAGCTCTACGAGGGCAAGACCATTGAGGAAAACAGACTGAAATGAGTTTGGCAAATGGCCAGTGGACCCACAGCTAATAAATGGCAGACTCAGCATCAGAAGCTATTATTAAATGTATTTTTAAATATCTAATTTAAATCAATCATGTAATAGGTCATGTTTATTCTAGTAAAATTGTTTCTACAGGTGTCATGGGTCTCTATAAAGTTCTCTGAAACCTGCACAGGATTGAAAATCATAACAAATACACAAAAAAGAATGCATTACCATTAAAACTTATAGTTCACAGAGTATTTTTCATTATCCTCAGTAAGTACCCATGGGTCTAGTTAAGTGTGGTATTTTGACAAACTCAATAGTGGGAGAGTGTCAGAGTGAGTACCTGCCTTAAATGCATACAAAAAGAGTAAACCCCAGTTAAAATCATGGCAGAGCGTTTTTACTGGGTATATATGTGCATCTGAATCATTGTCATTTAGTACTGTTTTTCAACAGGTTCAACAGTTACCTGGTATTTAGAGTGAAAATAACTTGTAATTTTCATTATTAATTATGACTGCCCCAGGACCAGCAGATGGTATAATGGCTACGTTGCTGGACTCCCATGCAGTCAACTGCGGTTCGAGTCTCGGACGCAGCAGCTTAAACTCAAGCCGGGTGCTTGTGCATGTGTACCCAAGATATTGAGAGGAGAATGGAGGAGAAGGGATTGTGGTGTGGCCATCCCCCCTGAGGGGGTGATTTCTCTCTTTCTGTCTCTCTGTCTTTCTGGCGAGCACAAAAAAAACCTCTCCAAATATATATATAACCGCCCCAGCACTTGGGGTGGGGTGATCCTCACAGGACAGTCCTTGAGGATTTCTTCCTAAGTCTCAGTATCAGATATATAGCAGCATTTCTACTCATCTCAGAGGACAGAATGAAATTATTCACCCAACTTAAACCATATCCATTGTTAGTTAATGTAACATATTTATTGAAGTGTAACACTCCTACAGAAGAGTGCAAAAATCATTAACTCTATAGTTCAAAACTATTATAATTAGCATATCATTGTAACAAACACCCATATACAGAAACTGTATGTTAATAGCATCCAGAGTACCCCCACACACCTTGTATTTCCTTCCAGATGAGACATCCCTCACCCAAGGGTAGCGATTATCCTGTCCCCTAACATCATAGATTAGTTTTGCCTGTTTTCAAACTTTTTATAAATGGACTCATTCAGCATGCACTCTTTTATGTCTGGTTTCTTTCACTGAGATTATATTTGTGAGATGTATCAGTGTTGCCATGTATAGTTGTAGATCATTTATTCCTCATCTCTTTGTGGTGTGTGCCTGCCTGGAAAACCAGAAAGTTCCCCTGTGTGTCTACTGATGATTATATTCTTTTATTGCAAATTAATTGAGCAGATAGACAGATACATTTATTAATCTTGGTAAATGCAGAAGCTGATAGAAAATGCACAGGGCATTCTAAGATGGTTCTTTTCATTATTTAACATTGGTATTTCACTTTCAAGGTGAAATGGAAGCTGGTGCTTTAGCAGCTTTTTCAAATTCATCAATTTTATAGACACCATTATAAACGTTGTGATATTATTCTGCAGTTAGGAAAGCTAAGCACAGAGAGGCTAATGATTGTCTTAGTTCTACCAGCACGAGCCCTAGAGCCCTCATATTTCTAGTGAATTAATTCTGTTTATACCATTTCTTCCAAAGCCAACAGGGATCTGTGAGGAAAAGAAATGGCAAAATAAGATTTATTTTTATTTTTCCAAAGAGAAATTAAGAAATTAACAGAAGAAACCCTTTGCTCAAAAATGTCTGATATGGAAACATAATAAAATGAAACAGATAAAAGCAAGCTTTTCTGGATGAAGGGTGGAAAGAAAGTAGAAATTCATTTTTCTGTCCTCTTCTCAGGACCGAAACTCCTGGTGGCTTCTTAGAACCGCTGACACCCTCCTGAAGCATGTTTCACCATCTGGGCCTGAAAAACTGATGAGTGCTCGACCTGAGCTTTTAGACTGGGGTTTGAGGCCTCTTTTTGATCAGTAATAAAAATTGCAAAGGCAATTTCTTCTTGGAGGCAATATCTCTTTCACAAACCATTGAACTTTTTAAAAATTTATTTACTTATTTATTCCATGAGCAAGAGAGAGGGAGAAGCAGCATCTTAAACATGATCTCAATGCCACGATACACCCCCAGCCTCAGCCAGCCCTGGACACATGCATACCTGGTGTACTTAGGGAGGTCTCTAGATATAATTGGAAAGGAGAGCCAGTAAGATTACTGATGTATTGGGTAAGAGAGAATGTCAAGGATGACTTCAGGATTTCTGCCTGAATAACTGTGAAGGCTAGTTGTGGAGCAGGTTGGAGGTAGAAGATAAGGAGTTCAGTTTTAGATGTATTAAGTTTGAGATAAGCCAAGATGTTGAAAAGTCAGTTGGATATGACTTTAGAGTTGGGAGTGAGATCTGACCTAGACATATTTGGGATTACCAGTGTACAAGGTACTTACATGTATTTAAGACCATAGAACTGGATATAATTTTTAGTATCATTTATTATTATTATTTTAATTTATGTTTAATCACTATATATCTTTACATTGTATAACATTGCTTTTTCCAGCACGAACATGGTGCATATCGGTCAGGACAAAGACATTATTATATACGTTATCATCAACAATAACTTCTCATTTTTCTGTCAATGAAACGTATTGTTTTGTTCCCCTCTTCCCCTCCCTCCT